AGATTTTCCCTGAGGGCACAGAGGGAGGGTTTAGGTGTAGATGAATGGTACATGATGTGGAGGGGCACAAGGGTTGTCCTCCCCCCATCTCTCTACATCACCTGCTGTCTCTTGTCGTATGCTTGAATTGTAAGTTTGGGGGGACAGAACTGGTCTTTTTCTTCTGTGGTTGTACAGCTCCGAGCACAGTGAAGTCCGGATCTGGGACTCGTAATACCACTAATCCATAATAACAAAGTCCAGTGTGTGATAGTATAAACGGATGTATTGACTCAAAAGCTCCTGGGATCATGCTCACGCTTGGGCTCCTTGCTTGCTTTCCAGGCAATACTACGAGATGCTGTATAACACGGCGGACGAGCTCTTAAACCTGGTGGTGGATCAAGGGGTGAAGTACACAGAGCTGGAGTACATCTACGCCCTGAGCTTGCTGCACCGTAGCCAGACGGGCGTCGGGGACCAGACGACCCAGAACATGAGGCTGCAGCGCCTGAAGGAGATCATCTGCGAGCAGGCGGCCATCAAACAGGCCAGCAAGGACAAGAAAATCACTACGGTGTGATCCGGACCTGTTTCCAGGAATCCGAGCCGCATGGGCCGCTGCCCTTGCAGTGCCATATATAGTAATGATTGATCAAACCTGTATGTTATGGGCAGGATTGTACTGTCCTGCCAGCCAGGGAACATGCAGCCTGAGATCTGGGTTTGGGGTTTGTTTGTTTTTTACACTTAATCATGCCAAGCTTCCCTAATGTATTACCCTGAGAGCACTTGCACTGATCTGCTGAAATTTGGGCAGGGTGGAGTTGTGGGAACAGAGGTGCAAATAAATATTGGACCATCTCTGTGGAACTACTGCCACGGTGTCCGGACTTTGGAAGGGGGTACCCAGCTTGGGGGGGGCACAATTAATGGCGAGATTCACTCTTTGTTAGTCTGACCCTATAAATGGAAGTTCAGTCATCGTGAATGGAAACCGCGCTATGACCGTCAAAGGCAGAGCTAGGTTGAAATTAGTGAAATCGTGATGGTCCTGAAGTTGTCCCAAAGTTTTGCCGCAGGGGAAGTTGATGTGAGCTCTGCCAACACGATTGCTCTTCTCTGCGATACGTTGGCACATTGATTTTTTTTTCCTGTTTTTCCATTACAAAGAGAACTGGTGGCTAGCTCCCGACTGGCGGAACTTAGCTTTCATTTTGGACGGTGTTGAGCCAATTCATGTGTCATTAGAGGCAACACACTGGGTCAGCGGTTTCAATTGCCACTGTACCTGTGCCTCCGAGCAATGAATCATCAGTTTCCAGGGCTCATCCTGTTCCAGATAATGGTGGAAGTAGGCGGAAATTGCCAACTTTTCAGCAGGCAGGGAAACTTCTTCAGAGAATGAATTTTCCTTTTCGTAAATATCATTTGAGTCATTCATCAACTTGAAAGTTCCCCCTGATTCACATCAGAGGTGCTGCTGCAGACGTGTAGGCTTACGCAACTCAACAACAATGAGCAGAAAAGGGAGGAGGAGGTAGGTTGAGGACCCACCAGTTTGAGATGAGTTTCTGGAGCACCATGCAAATGCCAAGCAGCCATTTTTCCTGCCACCATTCTCTACTTTCACCCATGCTGGGCAAGGGTCCTGATGGGTCAGGGCGGATGGCTTTATTCCAGTCGTTAATACAAAGCGTGTATTGTATTCATATTTTAGAGAGGGCAGTTGCCATTCAAGGTTTGGTATCATGCCCTGAACTATATTCTCTGTCTTGCAAAACTGCTTGAGCGGCACTATCTTGAAAAAACAGCCACATTAAAGGGTGTTTTAAAAATCCTTACAGATTGTTGTGGAGTGTTTTTTTTAATGATTATTCATTTTAATATTTATTTTTACTTGCTCAGCATCTAGAGGTTGTCCAGCGCGTGACAGCTGGGATACAAGAAGCTTATCCCAGCTGTGTGGAGGAAGTATTACCGCCGTTATACAGACGAGGAAAAGGGGGGCACAGAAAGGTGACAGGAAATGCCCCAAATCGCTAGAATAATATAGATTCTTTGGTGACCGCATCGTGACGCTCAAGAGGAAAGGCACAATTTTTATTCAAAGAACAGGGTTGGGATGGTGTGCTGTAAATTAGTCCTGTGCTCACACATTGAGAAGAATGAAAAGGAAATAGTGAATAACTGTTCACAGAAGGTATGAGGTAGAAGTCCTGTAAGAAAAAAAAAATCGTGTACTCATGTCAAAAACCGTCTCATAAGGTGCACACAGCAGAAGGGCCAAATTACAGTGGCACCAGCGATGCTAATTTTGGCATTTCTGCACTATTGACTTGCTTGAATTTTGCAACTGAAGCATCTTTCTAAGTCATTTTCCTGATTATTTATATAGGGGGGCCAGTCACCCCTGTGCAGAGGGCTTAGCACATGGATCAGTTTCCCCAACAGCATCCAAAATCCACTGGACAAGTGTGCAGAGATGGTCCCCTGGCCTTGAAGAGCTTGAAGTCTCAATGGTTTCCACGGAGATGCAGAAAGGACACTTGATGCATCAAGTGTCCTTTCTGCCAGTATTCACTGATAAAATGAGAGATACTATCAATTAGTCTAGGAAATTAAGCAGCCCTCATCACTGTCATACCTGAACCTCTTGCAATTCTCAATGGATTTCATCCCAGAACACCTCTGGGAGGTAGGCAGGTATCCCATTTTACTGATGAAGGACTAAGACCCAGGAGAGGTTAAATTACTTGTCCCGTGTCACAGAAGTCTGTGGCTGAGGTGGGAATTGAACAATTAGTTGTCCTGAGTCATAGTCCAATGCCCAGTCCACTAGATCTACCCTCACGAGGTAAATTCTCCGTGGACACATTTTCTCTACTGACTTCAGCCAACCTCTCATCAATTCTCGTAACCCTTTGAGAGACAAAAAGGCCCTTCCTTCCATTTGTCCAGCCTTCTTTAATTTCCCATCATGCCCGCATGTAAATCCTTTGCCCTGAAGGAGAGCTCCTTAAACACGTCCTTACTTGGACAACGTGCCCCAAAAGGCAAAGACATGGACCAGGGGGCAGCTCTCAGGCACCCCAGCACTCCTCCGAAGGCAGGTTGTCCAGGTTTTCTGGGTGGTTCTTACCATGGCCTGTCTCCAGATTCTGGCATGGTCAGGAGTCTGGTCCTCAAGGGAAGAGGTGGAGAAGGCCAGGATGGGACCAGAGCCATGGGTGAAGAGGGAGGTGGAGCTCCTGCATGTGTCTTGGTTTTGCCATTTGGGAAGGTGGCCGCCCTATGAAGGAGAGCACCATCTCCTGGAGGGCCTGGGGGTAGCATGGTCAGGCCAACAGCCCTTCCGGCAGTTACACCCCTTCAGTTTCTGTGACGTAGTGGGGGTACCTGGCTGGTTTCTATGCTGCTGGCTCTGGGGTAACCCCCACTGGCTGCCGTGGGTACCACGACCCAGTAAAACAGGATGAGTCACTATGCAAACCAGTATGGCCAGACACCCCCATGGAGAGGAACAAAGGCGGGTGGAATGCTGCCCTGGCTGGGGGGCAGGGCTGGAAGAGAGTTGGTTAGTTGCTGGCTGGAAGCATGGAGGAGACAGCCTAGGGAAAGGGGCTGGAGTTTAGGGGCCCAGTCTCCCCCATCTCAAGGGGGCCTGAGGCATCCTAGCCCAGCTCTGTGACCAGATTACATCTGTGCTTTGCTGTAACCTAGAGAGGCAATAAACTTCCTCTATGCCACTGGCTGGTGCAGTCTGTTTGTGCCATTTCGGGGTGCAGGAGACGGGGGACCCCCAACGCGCCGTCACAGTTTCTCTCTGCAGTTCTCCCTCCTGTCTCCTTCACTCAACCTTCCAGCTAAGTCACTAGTGTGACTTCCCCTTCGGGGGCAGAGTGTGTCCAGGTTCCTGCTCTCCGGCTGTCTTTTGCCCCACTGGGTGGCAGGGGAACCCACACCCACCTTCTATGCCAGGTTCCAGCTCAGGAACTCTACACAGTAGCCTGCTCCTCACTCCTTGCTGCCTTTCCCTCTGCTGCTTGTGTACCTCCTGGCCTTGTAGGGTGACTGGATAATGAGATGAAAAACGGGGATCAGGATCGGACATAATGGACTCCTACATGAAACAAATCCCCTAATGTCAAGGTTGTCCCAATACTATTGAGACGTCTCTTCATCCTTTGGCCTTCTCCACCGCCATGGGTCTGCCAGCCCCTTCTCTCCCTCCTCCCAGCCAGTAACTTTAGGCAGCTCATCTCTGCAGCTCCCTCAAACAGACCTTCCTCTTCTCAGTCCATGTCTGGGCCCAAAGCCCAATTCATCTCTTGAAGGGCCAGTGTAGGGCGCAAACCCCCATCACACCACCACCACCCTGATTTTCTAAGCACCCAGAGGTGCCTTTCCTAAAAGTGCTGCCCGATCAGCTCCCTGCAACCAGGCCGGTTTCTTGTGCGGGTCCCTGACAACCCCTACAGAACGTGTTCCTCCACGTGGACAAAAGGTTAGTTGTACTGGCTAGCAGGCACCTCGGGCAGTCAAAATGACCTGAATTATTTTGACAGTGGTTCTCTGGCTCGCATGGACTATGTTAGCAATCACAGTGGCTGGTTCTCCATGTCACTGAAGCCACCGTTCCAATGTGGAGTTTGCAGCACAAAGGTGCCAACGATTGGAAAAGCCACTGAGACGTCTCTTAGCTCACGTCTTTACTTACTGCTCCATAGATCAATTCTGTGGCATTTGATTTAGCGGGTCTCGTTAAGACCTGCTAAATCAAATGCTGAGGGCAGCTCTGGTCGGCCCCAGTAGTCATGAGAAGTAAGGGAAACCAATGAGAACGTTTGCTCCCATTGGCCTCTCTCTTTGAAGATGACACTAAGCTTGGCTTAAGCTGACTCATAAGAACAGCCATACTGGATCAGACCAATGGTCCATCCCACCCAGTATCCTGTCTGCTGACAGTGGCCAATACCAGATGCCCCAGAGGGAGGGAACACAACAGTTAACCTCACGTGATCGCTCTCCTGTTAATACGTATTTTATGTTGCTGGAGTTGCTTACGTTTACCTGATCTAGTGTAAACCTGGCCTTAGAAATGATCCTTCCAGGTCAGGTCTGAGTCAGATACACAATACAGCCGTGGGGGTGAATTTGTTGTGCCTGGTCTGTTTATGAGATGAAGGGAAGACTTTAACGCGCTCATTCTCTTTTTATGAGCCCACAAATAACAGCCATCTCCAGGTTATGTGACTCCGATGAATTCTGCCTTCAGAAACCTGCCATGCTGCCGCAAAGACATACCAATTTATGGACAAAACCTCGACTTTCTGTTTCATTATGCAACCTGAAATCCCGTCAGCCTTGCCAGTATGCAGAGAGCAATCACAGAGAGACATGAGCCTGCGGTGCTTACAGGGCCAAGAAAATACTCCGCCCACCTGCAGAGTGAAATGGGGGGGGGGGGGGGGGTGTCAGGATTTTCTTTTTACAGCCTCATAATTTTGAATGGGCCTTCATTATCACATCATTTCAAAGTCAATGCCAGACACAATATCGTAAAAGGCGGGTGAAGGGAAATAATTCACATGCCTTCCAGCCTCGTGTCTTAATTGGCAGCCCTCCCCCAGGACTCTCCCTTGATTAAGTTGAAAAAAGCCAGCCCGTGTCAGAGCAACGATCAAAAAATTACCCCTATGTTATGTGGCTAGCTGGATCTCGTACGTTGCCAGGTGCTCTGGGAAAACACTCGCTGGAAAGGTGTTACTCCACCGAACTCTTCCCTTATGCTTTTATTGATTGCTGTTTTGTTGTATCCTCACTGTCATCATTGCACATTTCTGTCCAATACGGTGGGTAACCAAGAGTAGGACGAGAACAGCCAAGAATAAATTCGCATGCCAGATTTTTTTTTTCTTAATCTGAGTCTAAACAGCTTTTGTACAGTCGGGTTCTTCTTGGTCATTTTACAGTTTGCTGCACAAAGAAACGAAGGCTCGGATAAGCTACAAGTGGGATCCATGCTCACAGGGCAAGTCGTCCTCCAATCTGGGACCAAATTGGGAAGGGGAAATGGGGATGCTACGTATCGCCTCCCAGCCGTTTCGATCGATTTAACCCTCCTCCCCCACGGAAAGGCTTGGTTGTGTCTCAGTAACGAAGTAGGCAAGTGACCCCACTGTGCCGAAGGGTCTTGTCTTCAGCGATCTTCATCCAAGCCTCAGTTCAGGAAAACGCTGTTTTCAGTGGGACTTAAGCACGCCCTGAACGGAGTGTTTGCACCTAAGGGGTAACAGCCCACGTTGGGAAAGCTAATGAGCCAACTGGTGGACCAAATTCAGTGATTTGGCTGAATGAGGTACATTGTCCTCGCTCTAATGTGTAGACACTTACCTACTCTAATGGAGGGCTTCCCTCGTTGGCATAGATCAGGGGTGAGGAAAATTTTTTGGGTCAGGGCCCACTGCCCTACAGGAAAAATCAGTTGGGGGCTGCACACAAGTGCTCCAGCCCCATGGTAGAGTGGCAGGGGAGAGCCCTGGGCATTGGGGCCAGACCCAAGCAAGCCAGGGCCCTGAGGTTCCCCACCCCAGCAGAGATAATCTACTTCCCTGAGAAGTGGTAGGTAAAAAAGTGAACACGAGAATTCATCCACTGACCTAGCGCTGTCTACATGGGCGCTTTCATGTAGGCTTAACAGGAGCATGTACCCCCGACCAATGTCGTTAAACCGATCTAATTTTCTAATGTAGACCAAGCCAAAATGCATTTCAGTATTGGGGCCTGAGTTTGCTGCTGGTTCTGTCTCCTCCTCAGAGGAAGGCATATCT